CCTACAACTCATCCAGAATGCCGCAGCCCGTCTGGTGTTCAACCTTCCCAAGTTCTCTCACGTCACCCCCCTCCTCCGCACACTCCACTGGCTTCCAGTTGAAGCTCGCATCTGTTACAAGACCATGGTGCTTGCCTATGGAGCTGTGAGGGGAACGGCACCTCCGTACCTTCAGGCTCTGATCAGTCCCTACACCCAAACGAGGGCATTGCGTTCATCCACCTCTGGCCTGCTGGCTCCCCTTCCTCTGCGGAAGCATAGTTCCCGCTCAGCCCAGTCAAAACTGTTCGCTGCTCTGGCACCCCAATGGTGGAACAAGCTCCCTCACGACGCCAGGACAGCGGAGTCACTCACCACCTTCCGGAGACATTTGAAACCCCACCTCTTTAAGGAATACCTGGGTTAGGATAAAGTAATCCTTCTACCCCTCCCTTACCCCAACCCCCCCCCCCCAAAAAAAAACAAAAAACAAACAAAAGAAAAACACATTGTAAAGTGGTTATCCCACTGGCTATAAGGTGAATGCACCAAGGCACCATTTGTAAGTCGCTCTGGATAAGAGCGTCTGCTAAATGACGTAAATGTAAATGTAAATGTAACACCCCTCCAGCTAGGATGGAGTCCGTCACTCCTCAGCAGGCCAGGCTTGGTCCTGTAGCACCCCTCTAGCTAGGATGGAGTCCATCACTCCTCAGCAGGCCAGGCTTGGTCCTGTAACACCCCTCCAGCTAGGATGGAGTCCATCACTCCTCAGCAGGCCAGGCTTGGTCCTGTAGCACCCCTCCAACTAGGATGGAGTCCATCACTCCTCAGCAGGCCAGGCTTGGTCCTGTTTGTGGGTGAGTCCCGGAAAGAGGGCCAATTATCTACAAATTCTATCTTTTGGGAGGGGCAGAAAATAGGTTTCAACCAGGGTTTGAGTTGTGCGAGTCTGCTGTAGAGCTCATCACTCGCCCTAACTGGGAGGGGCCAGAGACAATTACTTGATGCCGACACATCTTTCTAGCTAAGTTACGCTGAAGCTATGTTGCTCTTGTTGACCTCTGACTGTTTCATCCTAACATCATTAGTGCCGACGTGGATAACAATATCCCTATACTCTCTACACTCACCAGTTTTAGCCTCAGCCAGCACCATCTTCAGGTTAGCCTTTACGTCGGTAGCCCTGTCCCCTGGTAAACAGTGTATGATCGCTGGATGATTCTTTTAAAGTCTAATATTGCGGATAATGGAGTCGCCAATGACTAGGGTTTTCAATTAGTCAGAGCTAATGGTGGGAGGCTTCGGCGGCTCAGACCCCGTAACGGGTGGAGGAGAGACCTGAGAAGGCTCGGCCTCTGACTCCGACTCGTTGCTTAATGGAGAGAACCGGTTGAAAGTTTCTGTCGGCTGAATGAGCGACACCGGTTGAGCATGCAGACAACATTTATTTCTAGAAGCCTTGAGAAAATTGTCCGGCTACGGGGGGATTTATACTACTATCTGTACTTACTGTTGGCACAGATGCTGTTTCATCCTTTCCTACACTTACATTGTCCTTGCCTAACGATTGCGTCTGAAGCTGGGCTTGCAGCACGGCTATCCTCACCATAAGGCGGTAGTTCCACTTTAAATGTGTACATGACACTGCAACAAAATTTCCCCATGGGGACAATAAAGTAAGTAAGTAAGTAAGTAAGTTCTCCTGTATATTATGAGTCCAGCGACTGCAATTAGATGGCATAATGTTAATGTTACTACTTAGCTTCGGCTGGTGGAGGTCCTGTAGAACCGTGTCCAGATAAAGGGTCCTCTAGAACCATGTCCAGATAAAGGGTCCTCTAGAACCATGTCCAGATAAAGGGTCCTGTAGAACCGTGTCCAGATAAAGGGTCCAGTAGAACCATGTCCAGATAAAGGGTCCGGGGTGAAAAAGTTGAATGAAAAAAATAGAGCGAGCAAGAAACTAAGACGTTGATAAGTGTGTTAAATGCAGACTTTTGATTAAACGGTCATTAAAAGTAAAAACAGAAAAGTTTGTCAGGTAGCCAAGTAGCAACAAACAGCACCGCAGAGACAACGTTGTGACTTTGTGGCTGTGGTAACTAACGTTTGTGAAGAGAACTGCGATAGAATCCCTCAGTCACCCATCTCTGTCTCTCTCTCTCTCTCTCTCTCTCTCTCTCTCTCCCCATCTCCCTCCTCCCTCCTCCCTACTGGGAAACTTATCAGAGGTAGACATGACAGTGATGTTTATGTTTGAGCTGATAGTGCAGGGTGAGCTGCACACAGTGGGCTTCCTACTACGGCACACCACCTCAGTGCTAACAGTATAACGCAGGTTTATAGGCACATGATTACTGCTGACAATAGGTGTCAGATTGACAGAGGCATTCAGGAGAGTTAGAGGAACATAAATCAGGTTACTTACATTGACCGTGCTACCTTTTCTACGGTGATATGCTTTCCATGTCCTTTTATTTTATTTTTATTTTTTTATTTCACCTTTATTTAACCAGGTAAGCCAGTTGAGAACAAGTTCTCATTTACAACTGCGACCTGGCCAAGATAAAGCAAAGTAGTGCAATAAAAACAACAGAGTTACATATGGGGTAAAAAAAAACATAAAGTCAGAAAATACAACAGAAAAGATATATACAGTGTGTGCAAATGTAGCAAGTTATGGAGGTAAGGCAATAAATAGGCTATAGTGCAGAATAATTACAATAGTATTAACACTGGAATGCTAGTGTTCCTGCTGATTATGACAGCACAGACCCTAACGCTCTGAAGCAGTATCCACACCTTGAGCACCTGGGGCGGCAGGTAGCTTAGTGGTTAAGAACGTTGTGCCAGTAACCGAAAGGTCGCTGGTTCTAATCCCCAAGCCGACTAGGTGAAAAATCTGTTGATGTGCCCTTGAGCAAGGAACTTAACCCTAATTGCTACTGTAAGTCGCTCTGGATAAGAGCGTCTGCTAAATGATTAAAAATGTAAATATGCTCTAAAGCAGTATCCACGCCCAGAGTAATCATAATATACATGGCCTTCAGAAGTTATTCACACCACGTGACTTAGTCCACATTTTTTGTTTTGTTATAGCCTGAATTTTAAATGGATTAAATGTAGATTGTTTCTCATCCATCTACACACAATTTTAGCAAATGGATTGCAAATTAAATACAGAAATATCTTGTTTACATTCACACCCCTGAGTCAATACATGTTAGAATCACCTTTGGCAGCGATTACAGCTGTGAGTCTTTCTGGGTAAATCTCTAAGAGCTTTCCACACCTGGAATGTACAAATGGTGAGGCGATTCCTAAAAGATATTCTGATGTGTTCACAGTATTTGGAGCATTGCCTCCCTTTCACAATATTACTCTCGCAGAGAATGCCAAAGCCAGTGATTCATGCACCATGCAGTGTTTCCGGGGCCACTACGACAGGATCTAAAGAAGGAGTTGTGGTGAAAACTCAATGTGCTCGTGAAAACTAAGAGGATCCGACAGACTGAGCCAATTCCATGGTGTGTGTTTGGAAAAGGAATGGAGCTCTGAGAGTCTGTATGGACCCCAAAGACCTTAATAAATGTATCAAAAAGGCGCATTTTTTTTTTTTTTCCTAAGAGGTAGGAGATAGTATATGAAATGGCTGGCGCAAACTATTTCTCCAAATTGGATGCTTCAAATGGATTCAGACAGGTGAGGATATTCCTTTAAGAGGCTAACTTTTGGCATAAGCTCCGCCCCTGAGCTTTTTCACGAGGCCATTGAAAGTGTCATTGAGGGGTTAGAGGGAGTTTGAGTGTATGTGAAGGATTTTGTGGTCTGGGGGTCCCCCAATTCAGGAACACAATGAGCAGCTGGATAATACTCTGCAGAGGGTTCAGGAGCATGGTTTGAAGCTAAACCGGGCTAAATGTCAGTTCTGTGTGAACGAAATCACATTTCTTAGGGATAAGCTGTCCTCGGCAGGTGTGCAGCCTGATCATGTCAAGGTCAAAGCTGTGAAGGAAATGGCAAACCCCACTGATAGGAAAGGCATTCAGCGTGTTTTGGGCATGGTCAACTATTTGGGGAAGTTTGTACCAAACCTGTCTGCTAAAACGGTGAACTGAAGGACACTCCTTCAGGACAAGACAGAGTTCTGATGGAACAGAGAACATGAAAGAGAGTTGTTCGATGTACAGAACATTTTGTCTGAAGAGCCAGTGCTAACTTGTTTCAACCTGACAGGCCTACTAAGGTGTTCACGGACGCCTCCAAAGATGGCATAGGAGCAGTGCTTCTTCAGGAGCATCAGGGGATGTGGAGCACGTGGCTTATGCGGACCGTTCTTTGACTGATGCTGAGAAGAGTTATGCTCCAAATAGAAAAGGAGTGCCTAGGGTTGGTCGTTGGCTGTGAGAAGTTTCACTGTTACATTTATGGCATACCAAAGGTGATTCTAGAAACAGACAATAAATCCCTTATTCCAATCTCTCAGAAAAATCTGAATGACATGCCTCCTCGTATTCAAAGGATGATAATGGGGTTGCCTGGGTCAACTTTAGTGGTAACAGATGCCTTCTCAGGGGCTCCGCCAGCATTGGCCCAAATCAGCCTCAGCCAGGAGTCTATGGAAGAGGAGGTTGCCTTGCATGTGGGTATGGTCATAGGAGTCACTTCCTGTTTCTGAATCAGCAACTAAGGAGAATAGCTGAAGAGACCAGAAGGTGATCCAGAATCTGGGAAATGGCTGGCAGAAAGGCTCTTGTAAGAAGTGCTTCTCGCTAAGCGCAGAGCTGTCAGTGGTTGACGTTGTGCTGTTGAAGACAAACCAGAACGGTGATTCCTACTTCACTGTGTCAGGAGATGCTGCAGAGAGTGCATGAAGGACATCTGGGAGCTCAGAAAGGTAAGAGAAGGGCCTGAGAGTCCCTTTATTGGCCAAATATCAATTCTGACATTGAGCAAATGGTGGGAAATTGTGACGTGTCTCAAAATGTCATTCCACACAGCCCAAGGAGTCCATGGTTATGGGAGTGGTACCCACCACAGCCTGGGAGACAAGGAGTCCATGGTTATGGGAGTGGTACCCACCACAGCCTGGGAGACAAGGAGTCCATGGTTATGGGAGTGGTACCCACCACAGCCTGGGAGACAAGGAGCCCATGGTTATGGGAGTGGTACCCACCACAGGTGGCACCAGGTACTGGGAGTCTGACAGTAGTGGGGATGTTTCTGTGACACCAGGTACTGGGAGTCTGACAGTAGTGAGGATGTTTCTCTGACACCAGGTACTGGGAGTCTGACAGTAGTGGGGATGTTTCTGTGACACCAGGTACTGAGAGTCTGACAGTAGTGGGGATGTTTCTGTGACACCAGGTACTGGGAGTCTGACAGTAGTGGGGATGTTCTCTGACACCAGGTACTGGGAGTCTGACAGTAGTGGGGATGTTCTCTGACACCAGGTACTGGGAGTCTGACAGTAGTGGGGATGTTTCTGTGACACCAGGTACTGGGAGTCTGACAGTAGTGGGGATGTTTCTCTGACACCAGGTACTGGGAGTCTGACAGTAGTGGGGATGTTTCTGTGACACCAGGTACTGGGAGTCTGACAGTAGTGGGGATGTTTCTCTGACACCAGGTACTGGGAGTCTGACAGTAGTGGGGATGTTTCTCTGACACCAGGTACTGGGAGTCTGACAGTAGTGGGGATGTTTCTGTGACACCAGGTACTGGGAGTCTGACAGTAGTGGGGATGTTTCTCTGACACCAGGTACTGGGAGTCTGACAGTAGTGAGGATGTTTCTGTGACACCAGGTACTGGGAGTCTGACAGTAGTGGGGATGTTTCTGTGACACCAGGTACTGGGAGTCTGACAGTAGTGGGGATGTTATCTGACACCAGGTACTGGGAGTCTGACAGTAGTGGGGATGTTTCTGTGACACCAGGTACTGGGAGTCTGACAGTAGTGAGGATGTTTCTCTGACACCAGGTACTGGGAGTCTGACAGTAGTGGGGATGTTTCTGTGACACCAGGTACTGGGAGTCTGACAGTAGTGGGGATGTTTCTCTGACACCAGGTACTGGGAGTCTGACAGTAGTGGGGATGTTTCTGTGACACCAGGTACTGGTGTAAAAATAAATAAAAAAGAAGATATATTGATGTGGTTTTGAGTAATGTTTTACGATACCTGTGGTATATGTACGGTGGAACAAAATCAACTATGATTCATAGTCATGGTCATCGCTGCTCGCTGTAACCAACAAAGTCCTCTGTGATGGAGACGCCGAGGAACTTAATACCCGTGACTCTCTGTACTGCAGTCTCGTTGATGTGGATCAGGGCATGTTCCCTCCTCTGCTTTCTGAAGTCAAAAATCAACTCCTTTGTTTTGCTGACGTTGAGGGAGATGTTGTTGTCCTGGCACTACAATGCCAGTCCACTTACCTCCTCCCTATAGGCTGACTCGTCGTTGTTGGTTACCAGACCTACAACTGTGATATCGTCAGAAAACTTGATGATGGAGTTGGTGTCGTGCAAAAGCCACGCAGTCGTGGGTGAACAGGGAGTACAGCAGAGGACTGAGGACACTCCCCTCGGGGACCCCTGTGTTAAGAGTCAGTGTGGATGAGGTGTTGTTGCCAATCCTCACAGCCTGTGGTCTGTCCGTCAGGAAGTCCATCATCCCAGGGGCTCTGAGCTTGGTGTCGAGCTTGGAGGGAACAATAGTGTTGAATGCTGAACTGCAGCTTTCAGATAGGTATTTTTGGCGCCTGTGGGAGTAAATGTCATTGCTGTTCATCATGTCATGTTTGTACACCGCAAATTCCATTTTTTACACATTACAATTTTTGTGTACAATTAATTACGTTATTATTGAAATATCATAACAAAGTGGTAACTATCCCAACATTGGGATATGCATAGGAACTCATAGGAACTCATCTTGTGTAAGCCTCATTAAGCTACAAAGTTGTCAGTGCTCAACCTTAATGTGTGTTGACAATACAACAGAACAGATTAACAAAACATTTTTGGGGGGGGCGACAGCCCCAAAACATCACTGCTCTAGAGGAGATCTGCATGGAGGAATGGGCCAAAATACCAGCCACAGTGTGTGAAAACCTTGTGAAGACTTACAGAAAACGTTTGACCTGTGTCATTGCCAACAAAGGGTATATAACAAAGTATTGAGAAACTTTTGTTATTGACCAAATACTTATTTTCCACCATAATTTGCAAATAAATTCATAAAAAATCCTACAATGTGATTTTCTGGATTTTTTTTCTAATTTTGTCTGTCATAGTTGACGTGTACCTATGATGAAAATTACAGGCCTCTCTCATCTTTTTAAGTGGGAGAACTTGCACAATTGGTGGCTGACTAAATACTTTTTTTCCCCACTGTAGATTGTCTAACCATCTTAGCTGGCATGACTGCTGGCAAGGTTGGTAGACTGGGTTGTTTTTAAGTGTAAATGCTCTTTATTCACTAGGGAAAGTCAAGTCCTCTCTTTCATTCCCACTAGAAATGACTGCCTTTAAACTGTCTCTCTTCTACAGAAGTACTAGATCAGTCAATCTCATCTCATGTTTGATACACATACAGTGCCTTCGGAAAGTATTCAAACCCCTTGACTTTTTCCACATTTTGTTACGTTACAGCCTTATTCAAAAATGGATTAAATAGTCCCCCCCCCCCACAATACCCCATAATGATGAAGCAAAAACAGGATTTATCAATTTGAGCAAATTTATTAAAAATAAAAAAGCAGAAATATCACATTTACATACGTTTTCAGACCCTTTACTCAAAACAAATCAAATTTTATTTGCCACATGCCGAATAGAACAGGTGTAGACGTTACAGTGAAATGCTTACTTACAAGCCCTTAACCAACAATGCAGTTTTATGAAAAATAATAGTTAAGAAAAATATTTACTAAATAAACTAAAGTAAAAAATAAAACAGCAACAATAGCATAGATTATTATTTATTTTTTAATACTCAGTACTTTGTTGAAGCACCTTTGGCAGCGATTACAGCATAGAGTCTTCTTGGGTATGACGCTACAAGCTTGGCACACCTGTATTTGGGGAGTTTCTCCCATTCTTCTCTGCAGATCCTCTCAAGTTCTGTCAGGTTGGATGGGGAGCGTCGCTGCACAGCTATTTTCAGATCTCTACAGAGATGTTCGATCGGGTTCAAGTCCGGGCTCTGGCTGGGCCACTCAAGGACATTCAGAGACTTGTCCCGAAGCCACTCCTGCGTTGTCTTGGCTGTGTGCTTAGGGTCGTTGTCCTGTTGGAAGGTGAACCTTCGCCCCAGTCTGAGGTCCTGAGCGCTCTGGAGCAGGCTTTCATCAAGGATCTCTCTGTACTTTGCTCCGTTCATCTTTCCCTCGATCCTGACTAGTCTCCCAGTCCCTGCCACTGAAAAACATCCCCACAGCATGATGCTGCCACCGCCATGCATCACCGTAGGGATGGTGCCAGGTTTCCTCCAGACGTGACGCTTGGCATTCAGGCCAAAGAGTTCAATCTTGGTTTCATCAGACCAGAGAATCTTGTTTCTCATGGTCTGAGAGTCTTTAGGTGCCTTTTGGCAAACTCCAAGTGGGCTGTCATGTGCCTTTTACTGAGGAGTGGCTTCCATCTGGCCACTCTACCATAAAGGCCTGATTGGTAGAGTGCTACAGAGATGGTTGTCCCTCTGGAAGGTTCTCCCATCTCCACAGAGGAACTCTGGAGCTCTGTCAGAGTGACCATCGGGTTCTTGGTCACCTCCCTGACCAAGGCCCTTCTCCCCCGGTTGCTCAGTTTGGCCGGGCGGCCAGCTCTAGGAAGAGTGTTAGTGGTTTCAAACTTCTTCCATTTAAGAATGATGGAGGCCGCTGTGTTCTTGGGGACCTTCAATACTGCAGACATTTTTTGGTACCCTTCCCCAGATATGTGCCTTGACACAATCCTGTCTCGGAGCTCTACGGACAATTCCTTCAACCTCATAGCTTGGTTTTTGCTCTGACGTGCACTGTCAACTGTGGGACCTTATATAGACAGGTGTGTGCCTTTCCAAATCATGTCCAATCAATTGAGTTTACCACAGGTGGACTTCAATCAAGTTATAGAAACATCTCAAGGATGATCAATGGAAACAGGATGCATCTGAGCTTAATTTCGAGTCTCATAGCAAAGGGTCTGAATACTTATTTAAATAAGGTATTATTTTTCTAAAACCCTGTTTTCGCTTTGTCATTATGGGGTATTGTGTGTAGATTGCTAAGGAAATTGTTTTATTTAATCCATTTTAGAATAAGGCTGTAACGTAACAAAATGTGGAAAAAGTCAAGGGGTCCGAATACTTTCCGAAGGCACTGTACGTACGACACACACAAACACGCGCTCCTCTTTGTTATAAGATAAAAGTCAAGTTCTTTCTTTCAGTGCCACTCACTCTGAAAAGCAGAGCTTTATAAATCATTCTCCTTCTGAATCAAAACTGCTCCTGTTTTATCTCCTATGACAAGACATCAGGCATGTACATGTCAACTTCCCCCTCAACATCCACCCTTTAAAACTAGAAACACTACTCTAAGTCTCTCAGACTGTGTTCCAAATAGCACCTTTAGCCCTACATAGTGCACTACTTTTTACCAGAGCCCATAGGCTCTATATAGGGAATAGTGGAGTGCAGTCAGCTCAATTGGTTTTCAGACTAGATAATTGGCCTCCATCAAAGTGGAGAATTTCAGGAGCTCTCAGTGAAAACTGTGTCCTAATTAAGAACTAACGGCAGTACCGGTGTACAAGGAATGCTAGCTGTCATCCTCAGAATGATCACCGGCCACTGGGATCCTCTTCAGTAGCAACAGCTCATCTACTCTCCTCCTCTCTGTCTCCTCTCTGTCTCCTCTCTGTCTCCTCTCTGTCTCCTCTCTGTCCTCTCGTTCTCTCCCACATCCTCCCCTCCTCCTCCTCTCCTCTTATTTTATCTTACCTTTCCTCGTTCCATCCCTTTTCTCCTCTCCTCTTCTCTCTCATTTCTTTGTTTCCTCCCTCTTCCTCATCTCTTTAGTTCCCAGCTCCCCCTCCTTCATTAGCTCCCAGCCGAGACCCTTCCTCTCTTCCTCCCTTGGGGGTGAGATGTGGAGACTGGCTGACAGGTCTCACCAGGCCTCCCCATCTACACACACAGACACACAGACACAAACACGCACACACACACACACACACACACGCATGCACGCACAAACAAACACAGACACACAAAGACACACACACACAGCAGGGCTCAATCGACTCTGTCCCCTGAGCAATCTCCACTCACCTACACATCGAAACCCAACTTGGTTTTAGTCTTAATAGTGCTTTTAAAGCAATATCTGATTCTCCACAAGCGTCTCCAGCTGTTATCTCTCTTTACTTTTTCCTTCCTCTCTCCCTTTTCCTTCTCCCTCTCATCCATCCCTCGTGTTCTCTCGCTCCATGCTATTGGTAACTCTCTTCTCTTTCTGTTTCTCTTCCTCTCCGCCTCTGTCTCTCATCATATCGAGTAATGTCCTGTTCACAGTGGGGGCACCACTCAAAGCTGTGATGATTGGTTTAGAAACAAAAGACGATGTTAGAGAGAGGGGAGAGAAGAGACCCCAGCCTGAGGCCAAACCACTCGACCAACAACGTTGGACACTTTATGGAACACAAAGCCTTCATTATCTCATCCTGGAATATCCAAGGCCTGAGGTCATCTGCCTTTGGCCTAAAGAGCAGGAACCTGGACTTCACCAAATAAATCGGAAATACAGACATTGTCATCCTACAAGAAACATGGTATAGAGGAGACGGACCCACTGGTTGCCCTCTAGGTTACAGAGAGCTGGTAGTCCCATCCACCAAACTACCAGGAGTAAAACAGGGAAGGGACTCAGGGGGTATACTAATTTGGTATAGAGCAGACCTAACTCACTCTATTAAATTAATAAAAACAGGAACATTTTACATTTGGCTAGAAATTCTAAAGGAAATTATCTCAACAGAGAAAAATGTCATCCTGTGTGCTACCTATATCCCCCCACTAGAATCCCCATACGTTAATGAAGACAGCTTCTCCATCCAGGAGGGGGAAAAGCTTCTACATCTGCATTGCTTGCTGTTTGGGGTTTTAGGCTGGGTTTCTGTATAGCACTTTGTGACATCTGCTGATGTAAATCTGGTGCTTCTGTCACCAACCAAGGAGGGCCTACAGCAGCACCTAGATCTTCTGCACCGATTCTGTCAGACCTGGGCCCTGACAGTAAATCTCAGTAATACAAAAATAATGGTGTTCCAAAAAAGGTCCAGTTGCCAGGACCACAAATACAAATACCATCTAGACACCGTTGCCCTAGACCACACAGAAACTATACATACCTCAGCCTAAACATCAGCGCCACAGGTAACTTCTACAAAGCTGTGAACAATCTGAGAGACAAGGCAAGAAGGGCCTTTTATGCCATCAAAAGGAACATAAAATTTGACATCCCAATTAGGATCTGGCTAGAAATACTTGAATCAGTTATAGAACCCATTGCCCTTTATTGAAATTATTTGCTTGAAATTTTGCACCTTCACTATTACAGTGAAATGTTTTGTCCAAGAAGTTGTTTAAAAGGGATTGCATTTGTTGTTGCCTAATTGTTTATTGGTAGGTTTCGACACTACTTTCCTTCCATCTATAGCATTTCTTAATATTATTCAGTTCCTCTGGCTTTGATGCCTCATGATTGAGTATTGCTCTGTTCAGGTAGACTGTGATTTTGCTGTGATCTGATAGGGGTGTCAGTGGGCTGACTGTGAACGCTCTGAGATACTCTGGGTTGAGGTCAGTGATAAAGTAGTCTACAGTACTACTGCCAAGAGATGAGCTATAGGTGTACCTACCATAGGAGTCCCCTCGAAGCCTACCGATGACTATGTACAGACCCAGTGTGTGACAGAGCTGCAGGAGTTGTGACCCGTTTTTGTTGGTTATGTTGTCGTAGTTGTGCCTAGGGGGGCATATGGGGGAGGGAATGCTGTCACCTCCAGGTATGTGTTTGTCTCCCTGTGTACTGAGGGTGTCAGGTTCTTGTCCAGTTCTGGCATTTAGGTCGCCACAGACTAGTACATGTCCCTGGGCCTGGAAATGATTGATTTCCCCTCCAGGATGGAGAAGCTGTCATTGTTAAAGTATGGGGATTCTATAGGGGGGATATAGGCAGCACACAGGAGGACATTTTTCTCTGTTGAGATAATTTCCTTTTGTATTTCTAGCCAGATGTAAAATGTTCCTGTTTTGATTAATTTAATAGAGTGAGTTAGGTCTGCTCTATACCAAATTAGTATACCCCCTGAGTCCCTTCCCTGTTTTACTCCTGGTAGTTTGGTGGATGGGACTACCAGCTCTCTGTAACCTAGAGGGCAACCAGTGGGTCCGTCTCCTCTATACCATGTTTCTTGTAGGATGACAATGTCTGTATGTCTAACTCCTCAGAACTGGTAGGGAGAGAAACATTCAACTGATTTTAAATGTACAAATCCCTACAATTTACCTCAGCAGGCCGTATTCTCCTGGTACGCGTCCCAAATGGCAGCCAATTCCCCATATAGTGCACTAGGGTCCATCGGGCTCTGGTCAAAAGTAGTGCACTATGTAGGGAATAGGGTGCCGTTTGGAACGCGCTCAGGGTCTAGTTCGTTCCATCCATTCTGTTCCTCTGTTTATAGCCAGGCTCTAACAGCTGACACTCCATGGACCCACTTTAAAACACTAAAATAGGATTCTTGACCTGCCCTGGTCTATCTTTCTGTGTTGCTCTCCTTTTTTCCCCCATCGATTTTCAATCTCTCTCTCTCTCTCCCTCTCTCCCATCTCGAGAGACGACGAGTTCAGACGAGCGAGAGCAGGTCCCGTCAAGTGGAGGAAAGATCGTTCCAGAGAGAGAGAGGAGAGTTCTCATAGTTCTCTCTAGTCTCAGCGCCGTCCCTACATCTCTCCTCATCTCTCTCTCTCTCATCTCTCTCTCTCTCTCTTCCTCTCCTCGTCTCTCCTCTTTTCTCTCTGTGTCTCTCTCTCTCAATTCAATTCAATTCAATTTATGGGCTTTATTGGCATGGGAAACATATGATTACGTTGCCAAAGCAAATGAAAGAGATGATAAACAAAAGGGAAATAAACAAGGGAAACATTAGTAAACATTACACTCACAGAAGTGTTAAAAGACTATAGACATTTCAAATGTTATATTATTGGCAGTGTTGTAACAATGTTCAAGTAGTTGAAGTATGAAAGAGAAAATAAATAAACAGGTAAATATTGGTGGTATTTGCAATGTTGTTTGTGCTCCACTGGTTGCCCTTTTCTCATGGCAACAGGACACAAATCTTGCTGCTGTGATTGGACACTGCGGTATTTCACCTAACCGATATGGGAGTTTATCAATGTTTGATTTGTTTTCAAATTCTTTGTGGGTCTGTGTCTCTCTTCCCTTCTCTCCCTGTCTCTTTCTCTCCTATCTCACGTTCTCTCTCTCTTTCTCTCCTATCTCACGTTCTCTCTCTCTTTCTCTCACCTCTCTCTCTCTCTTTCTCTCTATTTCTCTCTCTTTGCTGTCAGACAGGGTTGAGAGAGCAGACAGGGTGAGAGAGAGAGAGAGAGAGAGAGAGAGAGAGAGAGAGAGAGAGAGAGAGAGAGAGAGAGAGAGAGAGAGAGAGAGAGAGAGATTACTGTAGACCTCCACACTTCATCATGACAGTAACCCTAACCTGACCTAGACCTCCACACTTCACCAGGGGAGGGGCTGGGAATGGGAATGGGCTTTACATCTGCAACTAAACTAAAATCAACTGGATTAGTGCAATTCACAAACAATTAAATCAATATAAATGCATGTTTATAAAAGTGAAAACATGTTGTTGTTTTTTTTATTTTATTTTATTACATAGGGACAGATACAATTAAATGATTGACACATTGACTATACAACAGTCAGACGCATTGCCTTAGCTTGCAGTCATTAATTAAAGTACAAGGTGATCACATGGTTGCTCTCAAGGTTATTATAGCAAACTAAATCTAAAGTAAAAAATTAAATTAGAAAACTATTTAGTAAACTAAAACAAAAACTATACTGAAACTATTATCTTTGACTGCAAAAATGAACTAAAATAAAATAAACATCAAATTATGTTCAGTTTTTGTTTAAATGTATTTATCAAAAATCCAATGGGTTTTCAATCTTTTTTGTAATGGGGTTTTCAAGCTTTTGATTGTGGTGGGTAAATGCTGCCAGTAGATGGCGATGTTTCAAACAGGCCTAGCTTGTGCATCACTATCACTTGCTATCACCAGAGAAAAAAGAGGCAAAGCGAGAGGATTACCTCTGCCCAAAATCTGTCCCCGTAAAATAAGCAGACCTTTTTGTATGGAGTTCTATGAGAGAGTGTCAAATTACGTAAGGCTTATTTGATCAAAAAGAGTAATGTTTAGGTTCTTACAGATATACTGACATAAGTGGATAAACGTGGCATTCGGCACATTTGGGAAAAACTACTTACATTTTACATTTTATTCATTTAGCAGACGCTCTTATCCAGAGCGACTTACAGGAGCAATTAGGGTTAAGTGCCTTGCTCAAGGGCACATCGACAGATTTTTCACCTAGTCGGCTCGGGGATTAGAACCAGCGACCTTTCGGTTACTGGCACAACGCTCTTAACCACTAAGCTACCTTACTTAATTGTGCCTGTTCTTCACATGCGTATCTGCCCTCTCATTGGCTAGAATGGTCCCTCCTGATCTCATCTCCTCTCGCCTGCCTTCCATCTTTGGGGACGTATTTTCATTGTTAGAGCGGTTACTTGAAGATCTTGTCAATATAATAGATCATCTTTGCTATCGCTAACAACAGGGAAGAAATCTGAGGCAGAGACAGTAGAGAAAAACGAGACACTCCCAAAATAAATTCTGATCGGGGCGGGTCCACTCTGGTCTGCTTATTGCCCCCGCCCCGCAGAGGGGGTGCCCCAGAGCAAAATATTTCCCCTCTAGGGAAAATAAGCAGACAATGGTTGCGATCCCCTGCTCGGACGTTGCATGCATCAATCAATGGTGGTGTACCATGTTATCAACTGTGTCATCGACTGACAGATTGTTAAAACATATGATGTGGTTAGCTGATACATAAAATACCTATCCAGGCATTGTAATGTCTGTGGCCTAAGATTGATTTATAATTTTAAACAGTGGCATGAAGTAACTTCCCAAAAAACACTAAGCTTAGGCTACGTTCTGTCCCTAACACTACAACTGAAACTAAATTTAAATGTTTTTATAAAACGGAAACTAAATCAAAACTAGTAAATTAAATCTGAAAACGAACTGAAACTAAACTGAATTTCAAATAAAAAGCTAAAAAGCTAATAGGTCCTCAATAGGTCCTCAACAGGCAGCTTCATTAAATAGTACCCGCAAAACACCAGTCTCAACGTCAACAGTGAAGAGGCGACTCCGGGATTCTGACCTTCTAGGCAGAGTTGCAAAGAAAAAGCCATATGTCAGACTGCCCATCTTAAAATCTTTTCTTTTTAATTGGCCAGTCTGAGATATGGCTTTTTCTTTGCAACTCTGCCTAGAAGGTCAGCATCCCGGAGTCGCCTCTTCACTGTTGACGTTGAGACTGGTGTTTTGCGGGTACTATTTAATGAAGCTGCCTGTTGAGGACCTGTGAGGCGTCTGTTTCTCAAACTAGACACTCTAATGTATTTGTCCTCTTGCTCAGTTGTGCACCGAGGCCTCCCACTCCTCTTTCTATTCTGGTTAGAGCCAGTTTGCGCTGTTCTGTGAAGGGAGTAGTACACAGCGTTGTACGAGACCTTCAGTTTCTTGGCAATTTCTCGCATGGAATAGCCTTCATTTCTCAGAACAAGAATAGACTGACGAGTTTTAAAAAAAAGTTATTCGTTTCTGGCCATTTTGAGCCTGTAATCAAACCCACAATTGCTGATGCTCCAGATACTCAACTAGTCTCAAGAAGGCCAGTTGTATTGCTTCTTTAATCAGCACAACAGTTTTCAGCTGTGCTAACATAATTGCAAAAGGGTTTTCTAATGATCAATTAGCCTTTTAAAATAATAAACTTGGATTAGCAAACACAACGTGCCATTGGAACACAGGACTGATGGTTGCTGATAATGGGCCTCTGTACACCTATGTATATATTACATTAAAAAAAAATCTGCCGTTTCCAGCTACAATAGCCATTTACAACATTAACAATGTCTACACTGTATTTCTGATCAATTTGATGTTATATTAATGGACAAAAAAAATGCTTTTCTTTCGAAAACAAGGACATTTCTAAGTGACCCCAAACTTTTGAGCGGTAGTGTAGATATTCAAGTAGATTTACATTCACTGGCTCCTTGGTAAGCAACTCCAGTGTAGATTTGGCCTTGTGTTTTAGGTTATTGTCCTGCTGTTTTTTCTTTGTAATACTACTAGCTACTTACTACTAGCAATTTTATGAAGTTGGCTTTAGCCCAGATAGGTTCCCAATCTCCCATCATCATAACTAGATACCAAGCCATTTCAGGCTGTCAATCAAGATAGAGTAGCTAGCTTGTCTTAACTATCTCAGCTGGCATGACTGGTGGCCAGGTTGGTAGACTTTAGAAAAGCAAGCAATAACTAAATGTACTGAATAAGACTCACGTTCCTTTCAATCTCTTACCCAGATTTTAGCAGCTATGCAGGGAAGCATCTTTTGTTTCTTAAAAAAAAAGAACCACCGGTCAGGGAGGATACAGATAGCTCAGGAGGTATGATTAGATATGCAGAGAAATATACATATTTTTGACATAGAATTAAGTGTAATGATTATAGCTGGAAAAAAGCTGTTTCAGGTTTTTGAAAAATACTAAATTCTCCAATTTACGGACATTAGTACAATACGTTGGGACTAGACTATTTGAGTGTGGTATTATGTCATGTTATCAGACATATACAGAAAGAAACACACATTCGGTTTCAAAGGCTTCGACTTGTTCTCTCAGAACTCGCTGCAATGATTTGACTTTCTTTTTGGACAGACCCCCCCCAGCCAGCCTCACGTGCTTTGTGCCCCCTCAGATGTTTGGGGTGCATGGCGCCCCTGCTTGTAAGTAGCCTTGCATGAGCCTTGTGCAAGCCAGAACGGCTCATAGGAGCAGGAGCCTATCTCCTGTTTCTGTTGCTTGAGGCAGCTTGATGTACAGTACACCCCCTGGACAGGACACTAGTCTATCTCCTGTTTCTGTAGTGAGGCAGCTTGATGTACCAGTACACCCCCTGGACAGGACACTAGTCTATCTCCTGTTTCTGTAGTGAGACAGCTTGATGTACCAGTACACCCCCCTTGACAGGACACTAGTCTATCGCAGGGCCTAACACATGTACTACAGAGAAATGTGGAGACTTCAGAACAGATATCTCCAAATCAAGCTAGCTATGAACGTGATATACAAGTATTGTTTGTGGAACATTTATTCGATCACGATAAGACACTTCTGATATAGTACTGCATATCTCTCTTTCTCTATCTCCATCCTCACCTTCTCTACCTCTTCATCTTGTCCTCTTCCTCTCCCTCCTCCAGCCTCTGAAGATATTTTTATTATTATAATTATTATTATATTAAGATGCACTGCCATAGCATCACTCCTCCTCTCCCCCTTCCTACACCGTCTACTAAAATAACACAATCTCCTCCCCCAGCCTCTGAAGATGCACTGCCGTAGCATCACTCCTCCTCTCCCCCTTCCTACACCGTCTACTAAAATAACACAATCTCCTCCTCTAGCCTCTGAAGATGCACTGCCGTAGCTGTGCGTTGGTCACCAGCTCCGGTCACCTGATGGGTGGTGGTCGCGGCGAGGAGATCGACCGGGCGGAATGTGTGATCCGTATGAACGACGCCCCCACACTGCGGGGGTACGGTCGAGATGTTGGACGCCGCACTTCGCTACGCGTCATCGCTCACTCCAGCATGCAGAGGGTCCTACGGAGCCGTCATGAACTGCTCAACGCGTCCCAGGTTAGATGCTACATGTTATAAGATTTAAAATATACTGTATGCCATCTAGCAGACGCTTAAAAAAAAAAAAAAAAACACTTACAGTAATGAGTGTATACATTTTAGTATAGGTGGCCCTCAGCGGGAAACGAACCCACAATTCTGGCTTTGCAAGTGCCATGCTCTACCAACTGAGCCACAAAGGGCTAGATAGTTAGTAGATTGTTGTAATATACAGTGGGGAGAACAAGTATTTGATACACTGCCGATATTGCAGGTTTTCCTACTTAAAAAGCATGTAGAGGTCTGTAATTTTTATCATAGGTACACTTCAACTGTGAGAGACAGCATCTAAAACAAAAATCCAGAAAATCACATTGTATGATTTTTAAGTAATTAATTTGCATTTTATTGCATGACATAAGTATTTGATCACCTACCAACCAGTAAGAATTCCGTCTCTCACAGACCTGTTAGTTTTTCTTTAAGAAGCCCTCCTGTTCTCCACTCATTACCTGTATTAACTGCACCTGTTTACACTCGTTACCTGTATAAAAGACACCTGTCCACACACTCAATCAAACAGACTCCAACCTCTCCAAAATGGCCAAGACCAGAGAGCTGTGTAAGGACATCAGGGATAAAATTGTAGACCTGCACAAGGCAGGGATGGGCTACAGGACAATAGGCAAGCAGCTTGGTGAGAAGGCAACAACTGTTGGCGCAATTATTAGAAAATGGAAGAAGTTCAAGATGACGGTCAATCACCTTCAGTCTGGGGCTCCATGCAAGATCTCACCTCGTGGGGCATCAATGATCATGAGGAAGGTGAGGGATCAGCCCAGAACTACACGGCAGGACCTGGTCAATGACCTGAAGAGAGCTGGGACCACAGTCTCAAAGAAAACCATTAGTAACACACTACGCCGTCATAGATTAAAATCCTGCAACGCACGCAAGGTCCCCCTGCTCAAGCCAGCGCATGTCCAGGCCCGTCTGAAGTTTTCCAATGACCATCTGGATGATCCAGAGGAGGAATGGGAGAAGGTCATGTGGTCTGATGAGACAAAAATAGAGCTTTTCGGTCTAAACTCCACTCGCCGTGTTTGGAGGAAGAAGAAGGATGAGTACAACCCCAAGAACACCATCCCAACCGTGAAGCATGGAGGTGGAAACATCATTCTTTGGGGATGCTTTTCTGCTAAGGGGACAGGACAACTGCACCGTATTGAGGGGAGGATGGATGGGGCCATGTATCGCGAGATCTTGGCCAACAACCCCCTTCCCTCAGTAAGAGCATTGAAGATGGGTCGTGGCTGGGTCTTCCAGCATGACAACGACCCGAAACACACAGCCAGGGCACCTAAGGAGTGGCTCCGTAAGAAGCATCTCAAGGTCCTGGAGTGGCCTAGCCAGTCTCCAGACCTGAACCCAATAGAAAATCTTTGGAGGGAGCTGAAAGTCTGTATTGCCCAGCGACAGCCCCGAAACCTGAAAGATCTGGAGAAGGTCTGTATGGAGGAGTGGGCCAAAATCCCTGCTGCAGTGTGTGTAAACCTGGTCAAGACCTACAGGAAACGTATGATCTCTGTAATTGCAAACAAAGGTTTATGTACCAAATATTAAGTTCTGTTTTTCTGACGTATCAAATACTTATGTCATGCAATAAAATGCAAATTAATTACTTAAAAATCATACAATGTGATTTTCTGGATTTTTGTTTTAGATTCCGTCTCTCACAGTTGAAGTGTACCTATGATAAAAAATTACAGACCTCTACATGCTTTGTAAGTAGGAAAACCTGCAAAATCGGCAGTGTATCAAATACTTGTTCTCCCCACTGTACATATATATATATATACTGTATGTGATATTATGTGTTTTCATGAACACTTTCATGTGTTATCCCTTCTGTTTCAATCTTATCAATGTATCAATGTTTTACTTGTAACCCAAAATAAAAATGGTATTCAATTAAACTCTGTTACCTCCAGGACACAGTGTTTTATCAGTAGTTACATGTAGCATAACATTCTCTACCCTCCAGGACACAGTGTTTATCTTCTGGGGGCCCAGTAGTTACATGCGGAGAGACGGGAAGGGTCTGGTCTACAATAACCTGAGGTTGATGAACCAGGTGCTGCCCAAACTGAAGGTCTACATCATCTCCTGGCAGAAGATGCTGCAGTTTGACGAACTCTTCAAGAGGGAGACGGGAAAGGACAGGTCAGTTAAACCTAGAGTGCTGTAGTACCAGCCAGACTTATTAGCCCCGTCGCTTTCAACCATACAGTTTATCAATTCCTTATCAATCCATGGAGCCTTAACAGTTCTAACAGCCAGTGTCCTAACAGGTGCATGTTCATCAATAATTGGAAGAAGCAATTTCATAAATTCATCATGTGCTGCATCTGGATACTCCTTATTAATCATCTCTCAATAGCAAGGCTAAACTCACTGAGTCTTTAGATGGTGAAGGGTGTTCTTAGTTTTGGGTCAGGCACAATGGTCAGGTATTCTGCCGCTGTGTACTCTCTGTTTGGTACAAGTTAGCATTCCAATTTGCTCAGTTTTTTGGTTGATTCTTTCCAGTGTGTCAAGTAATTCTCTTTTCGTTTTCTCATAATTTGGTTGGGTCTAATTGTGTTGCTGTCCTGGGGCTCTGTGGGGTCTGTTTGTGTTTGTGAACAGAGCCTCAGGACCAGCTGACCGAGGGGACTCTTCTCCAGGTCCATCTCTCTGTAGGTGAGGGCGTTCTGATGGAAGGTTTGGGCATCGCTTTCCTTTAGGTTTCTCAAATGACTGCCTCGCCTGGTTCACCAACTACTTCTCAGATAGAGTTCAATGTGTCAAATCGGAGGGCCTGTTGTCTGGACCTCTGGCAGTCTCTATGGGGGTGCCACAGGGTTCAATTCTCGGGCCGACTCTATTCTCTTTGTATATCAATGATGTTGTTCTTGCTGCTGGTGACGCTCGGATCCACCTCTACGCAGACGACACCATTTTGTAAACATCTGGCCCTTCATTGGACACTGTGTTAACAAACCTCCAAACGTGCTTCAACGCCATACAACACTCCTTCCGTAGCCTCCAACTGCTCTTAAACACTAGTAAAACTAAATGCATGCTCTTCAACCGAACGCTGCTTGCACCCGCCCACCCGACTAGAATCACTACTGTCGGCGGGTCTGACCTAGAGTATGTGGACAACTACAAATACCTAGGTGTCTGGTTAGACTGTAAACTCTCCTTCCAGACTCACATTAAGCATCTCCAATCCAAAGTTAAATCTAGAATCGGCTTCCTATTTTGCAACAAAGCCTCCTTCACTCATGCTGCCAAACATGCCCTCGTAAAACTGACTATCCTACCAATCCTTGACTTCGGCGATGTCATTTACAAAAGAGCCTCCAACACTCTACTCAGCAAATTGGATGTAGTCTATCACAGTGCCATCTGTTTTTGTCACCAAAGCCCCATACACTACCCACCACTGTGACCTGTACGCTCTTGTTGGCTGGTCCTCACTACATATTTGTTGCCAAACCCACTGGCTCCAGGTCATCTATAAATCACTTCTAGGCAAATCCCCGCCTTATCTTAGCTCATTGGTTACCATAGCAACACCCACCCGTAGTATGCGCTCCAGCAGGTATATCTCACTGGTTATCTCCAAAGCCAACACCTCCTTTGGCCGCCATTCCTTCCAGTTCTCTGCTGCCAATGACTGGAACGAACTGAAAAAATCTCTGAAGCTGGAGACTCTTACCGATCACTGCACCTGTACACAGCCCATCTGTAATTAGCCCATCCAACTACCTTATCCCCATATTGTTATTTATTTTGCTAATTTGCACCCCAGTATCTCTCTTTGCACATCATCTTTTGCACATCTATCATTCCAGTGTTAATACGAAATTGTAATTATTTTGCACTATGGCCTATTTATTGCCTTACCTCCATAACTTGCTACATTTGCACACACTGTATATAGATTTTCTGTTGTATTTTTGACTGTACGTTTTGTTTACCCCATATGTAACTCTGTGTTGTTGTTTTTATCGCACTGCTTTGCTTTATCTTGGCCAGGTCGCAGTTGTAAATGATAACTTGTTCTCAACCTGCTTACCTGGTTAAATAAAGGTGAAATAAAATAAAATAAATAAATAGGTGGTTGTGGAATTTAACAGCTCTTTTCTGGGTTTTGATCATTAGTGGGGATAGTCCTAATTCTGCTATTTTGGAATCATTGACTTGAATGGGGAATGCTATTCTGGGCATTCTATTTATATGGTTGGACTGCTCTGTTCATGTTGAACAGCATCATGGATATGGATCACTGTCATCAGACTCCTGTAAAGTCTTCTCAGTGCTACAGGACCTTCCACCTGCAGTGAGGGAGAGAGATCTGATACCCTGGTTGCATCCAAAATGGCACCCTATTCCCTATAAAGTGCACTACATTTGTGCACTACTTTCTGTTCAAAAGTAGTGCACCACATAGGGATTAGGGTGCCATTTGAGAGACAGCACGTCTCCGTGAGCTGATAGTATCTGACAGTACTACACCTGATAGTATCTGATAGTACCACAGCCTGATAGTATCTGATAGTACCACAGCCTGATAGTATCTGGTAGTACCACAGCCTGATAGTATCTGATAGTACCTCAGCCTGATAGTATCTGGTAGTACCACAGCCTGATAGTATCTGCTAGTACCACAGCCTGATAGTATCTGCTAGTACCACAGCCTGATAGTATCTGATAGTACCACAGCCTGATAGTATCTGGTAGTACCACAGCCTGATAGTATCTGGTAGTACCACAGCCTGATAGTATCTGATAGTACCACAGCCTGATAGTATCTGATAGTACCACAGCCTGATAGTATCTGGTAGTACCACAGCCTGATAGTATCTGATAGTACCACAGCCTGATAGTATCTGATAGTACCACAGCCTGATAGTATCTGATAGTACCACAGCCTGATAGTATCTGGTAGTACCACATCCTGATAGTATCTGATAGTACCACAGCCTGATAGTATCTGATAGTACCACAGCCTGATAGTATCTGGTAGTACCACAGCCTGATAGTATCTGATAGTACCACAGCCTGATAGTATCTGATAGTACCACAGCCTGATAGTATCTGATAGTACCACAGCCTGATAGTATCTGGTAGTACCACAGCCTGATAGTATCTGATAGTACCACAGCCTGATGGTATCTGATAGTACCACAGCCTGATAGTATCTGATAGTACCAAAGCCTGATAGTATCTGATAGTACCACAGTCTGATAGTATCTGATAGTACCACAGCCTGATAGTATCTGATAGTACCACAGCCTGATAGTATCTGATAGTACCACAGCCTGATAGTATCTGGTAGTACCACAGCCTGATAGTATCTGATATTACCACAGCCTGATAGTATCTGATAGTACCACAGCCTGATAGTATCTGGTAGTACCACAGCCTGATAGTATCTGGTAGTACCACAGCCTGATAGTATCTGATAGTACCACAGCCTGATAGTATCTGGTAGTACCACACCCTGATAGTATCTGATAGTACCACAGCCTGATAGTATCTGGTAGTACCACAGCCTGATAGTATCTGGTAGTACCACAGCCTGATAGTATCTGATAGTACCACAGCCTGATAGTATATGATAGTACCACAGCCTGATAGTATCTGGTAGTACAACAGCCTGATAGTATCTGGTAGTACCACAGCCTGATAGTATCTGGTAGTACCACAGCCTGATAGTGTCTGGTAGTACCACAGCCTGATAGTATCTGATAGTACCACAGCCTGGTAGTACCGCAGCCTGATAGTATCTGATAGTACCACAGCCTGATAGTATCTGGTAGTACCACACCCTGATAGTATCTGATAGTACCACAGCCTGATAGTGTCTGGTAGTACCACAGCCTGATAGTATCTGGTAGTACCACAGCCTGATAGTATCTGATAGGCTGGGGCAACGAACAGCCCTTGCTGTCTCTGCCAGGCCGGTTCCCCTCTCCACTGGGGTTCTCTGCCTCTAACCCTGTTGCAGGGGCTGAGTCACTGGCTTGCTGGTGCTCTTTCATGCCGTCCCTGGGAGGGGTGCGTCACTTGAGTGGGTTGAGTTACTGACGTGATCTTCCTGTCTGGGTTGGCGCCCCCCCCTTGGTTTGTGCTGTGGTGGAGACCTCTGTGGGCTATACTCGGCCTTGTCTCAGGATTGTAAGTTGGTGGTTGGGGATATCCCTCTAGTGGTGCGGGGGCTGTGCTTTGGCGGAGTGGGTGGGGTTATATCCTTCCTGTTTGGCCCTGTCCGGGGGTTTCTTCGGATGGGGCCACAGTGTCTCCGGACCGCTCCTGTCTCAGCCTCCAGTATTTATGCTGCAGTAGTTTATGTGTCGGGGGGCTGGGGTTAGTTGGTTATACCTGGAGTACTTCTCCTGTCTTATCCAGTGTCCTGTGTGAATTTAAGTATGCTCTCTCTAATTCTCTCGTTCTCTCTTTCTCTCTGAGAACCTGAGCCCTAGGACCATACGTCAGGACTACCGGGCATGATGACACCTTGCTGTCCCCAGTCCGCCTGGCCTTGCTGCTATTCCAGTTTCAACTGTTCTGCCTGCGGCTACGAAACCCCTACCTGTCCCAGACCTGCTGTTTTCAACTCTAAATGATCGGCTATGAAAAGCCAACTGAGAGACCTGAGCCCTAGGACCATACGTCGGGACTACCGGCCGTGGTGACTCCTTGCTGTCCCCAGTCCGCCTGGCCTTGCTGCTATTCCAGTTTATAGTAGTATCTGGTAGTACCACAGCCTGATAGTATCTGATAGTACCACAGCCTGATAGTATCTGGTAGTACCACAGCCTGATAGTATCTGGTAGTACCACAGCCTGATAGTATCTGGTAGTACCACAGCCTGATAGTATCTGATAGTACCACAGCCTGATAGTATCTGATAGTACCACAGCCTGATAGTATCTGGTAGTACCACACCCTGATAGTATCTGATAGTACCACAGCCTGATAGTATCTGGTAGTACCACAGCCTGATAGTATCTGGTAGTACCACAGCCTGATAGTATCTGATAGTACCACAGCCTGATAGTATCTGATAGTACCACAGCCTGATAGTATCTGGTAGTACCACACCCTGATAGTATCTGATAGTACCAC